GGAAGGAAGGAAGGAAGGAAGGAAGGAAGGAAGGAAGGAAGGAAGGAGCAACAGTTGCTGGGTCATATTTTCAAACTCCAGAGGATCCATGCTTTTATTACACAATGCATGTTTGGTCACTAAGAAAATATTACTATTTTTTTAGTTCTCCTTCGTATTCACAGTTGGCCTGTAGCTCTGTGAGTAAGTGAGGATTACGTTAGAGTTAAGACTTAAAGCACCACTGAATTATAAAGGTCCTGCACTGGTAACATTAGGCTATCTCAGTTTAATAATACCTTACACGTGTAAATTACATGATTTCTAACAGGAAAAACATATGGGCTGCTCTGAACTGTTTGAAAGAAAGTCCAGATTGAGAAAGAATGGCAGAAATCAGACCAATATGAATCTACAGATTCAGTTTTTTAAGCAGCTTCTGCAGTTTTTTAGAAAATAATGGATACCCTTTTGATTTTGATCTAAAGGTCATAGTGTAAAACAGTAGAATATAAATCCTCTTTGTCCACAATCTGAAAAATATTGAATTGTAATCTGCAAATTATATCTTTACCATTCATTTCCTTATACTCCCTCTTTATACATGGCTACTATTTATTCTAGTTGGTATGTCTACGGCAGCAGTGTCAAACTCACGGCCTGTCACATGCTGGCCCCGCTCCTACCTTTTTTTTCCCTTTTAGCAAAGGGGAAAAAAGTCCCGATACGTCATGTGGTGACGCCATGACGATGCGAGTTTGACACCCCTGGTCTATGGAGATTCTTAGTCATCCAGGTCATAGTTGTCCCAAACATGCTTTTTCAAAAGGCAGATGGACTTTGTATTTCCTTGAAGATATTTCACTTCTCATCCTTCAGTCAGAACTGAAAAAACTTCTTGGATGAGAAGTGAAATGTCTTCAAGGAAAAATAAAGTCCTTTTTGAAAAAGCATCCTTAGGATATCTAGTTGGTATGTTTGTGGCCTCCCACAAACAAAATTATATGGCACCTCAGGGGCCCATAGTTACTTCAACCCATGAAGAGCTGTTTGGGGAATCTTAAATCCCAGGTAACAGCTGTAGTTAGATACATGGATGGGGAATGTTGATGCCTGGCCCTTCATCCTGGCAATCCCCAACGCCACTCTATGCTATGCTATGAATGGGCCAATATTCTTGCCTCTGGCAGTTCTGAGTGCTAGCCAAAGTGCACGCAGGCACAGGCATACACACACACACATGCCACGTGCATACACACATACAGTTAACACTCAACCACTCTACTCCTCATATGAATGAAATTTTTGTTAATGATGGATGCAAGAGGAAACGTATATCACATAGGTATTCTGAGATCCTATTAATTTCTCCTGGGCATCCATGTTTTCCTACTTAAGTATTGAATAATAACATCTGCAACAATATTTAAAAACTCCACTGTACTGCAGCTCTCTGCCATGATTTGATACTCCCAGTGTGATTATTATTGTTTTATTATTTCTTAATTTATTTTCCTAAGTCACAAACTCTACAGGCACATGAGCAACTAGTTTGACTTAATGTGACAAAAGAATAACGAATGTGTATCCGAAGTGGATCCTACATTTGACAATGCCACTTTTACATACCTTTCCAGAAAGGAAACTTCTGGATACTTGGAGTGAGCCTATCACTGCCTGAGGACAATCTCAAATGTGAAGTTAAATGTGTTAATTGAGAAAGGAAAGCAAATGCATAGGCTTATTAAAATAAGCTCTTGGGGATTCCAATTTTTCAAGGAGCAACAGTGAACTCCTGAAACTAACTTCCTGAGGAAGGGAACAGTTTTCATGTTGAGTAATAACAAAGATTACACTAAAGGTGAACTGAATGGATCTTCCTTCATCCTCCAATTATGCTACAACTAATTGGAATAGATAGAGTAGAATGTGAAATAAATCAAATTCATTATAAATCTAATAATAGTGAAAACCACTTGTGATTCCACCAACAAAGGAAAAACAGTGAATGATTAGCATTAGGAGACTCTTTTCTGAAACTAGTCATTGAAAGTTGCCTCCTGCAATTCAGCATATAAATTTAATTAATAAAACATTGACCTGCAGCAGATCTTGAGGGCCTTAATGTTGTCAGATATCATTTCTCCTCCAGTATTTTATTTTTTTATTTAATAGCCACCCATCTTACAAGAGACTGATTTAGGGTGGTAAGCAGCACTTGATTAAAGTGACAATTGGGAAAATACGTTCAAGTTTTTGTTTCACATTCTTTTGCTCAACTGGGGAAAAAAGCACCTGAAGATCCGTGCTCTTAATCAGTAAGAGCTCTCTTTTTAGTTGCTCTTAGCTTTAAAAAAAATGAGACTCAATAATCAGTAAGAGCTCTCTTTTTAGTTGCTCTTAGCTTTAAAAAAAATGAGACTCAATGTCAACTTCTTAAACAATTAGTTACTATAAGTTAATCACTAGAAATCAAAGGCATTTTAACAAAGTTATAAGAAATATATTGAAATTTTGTAGCATGCGGTTGTAAAAAAGTAATTCAGCAAAGCAGAGAAATAGCATCCTTGTCAAGTGGATATGCAAATAACTTAAACCACATCTTTAAAAAAGGACAAAAGAAATCAGATTAACAACAAGAGGAACATACATGAATACGGAACCTTCAATTTTAGCACAACAGTGTGCTCACTAGCCTTGTAAGAAAATGAAAAACCACAGAATTAGTCCTATTATGAAATATGCTCTACTTCCAAATATCTCAAACAGAATTTTTAAAATGAAAACTTTAAATTTTGCAACACCACAACAAGTATTTCATATACCACATAACTACAAAAATCATGTGAGATCTTTAATTAATTGCAAAAACTGTTATTGAAATGTCTTCGGTATAAAACAATGTCCTTCTCTTATTAGCATATTATATATATGGAGTGCAAAAATGAAGCATGTAGCATTTTCTGAATCATTTTCTGCCACCTAATGATTAACCAGATTTTGAAGTCCAGGTCTGTTATGCTTCACCTTGTATACAACAGCAGCCTTGTAAAACATCATTCCAAAGAATAAGATGCATATATTCAAACATCATTTGAAGCTGTGTCTTACTTAATCATGGTTTGCCAAATGAACCACTAACTGACTGCTTCATTAAAATTGCTCTCCCAAAAAACTGTTTACAAGCCATAACTGCTTGGTACAGTTTGAATAATCACTTTGTAAACCTACCAAATGATATTCTGCTTTAGGGGACTATATAAGAAGTTTAAGATACAGAAGTGAGACTCCCAATCTCTCCCTCCCCAGATAATCAAATCCTTACATTAATCGTTTCACTTTCTGTCCATGTAGTCAGCATCTAACAATTGTTATTTCACAATATTTCAGAATACCACCACATATATCCAGCAACCTAGTTTGAAATTAAACACCATTAATCTTTCAAAACCATTTTTTTGCCAAATCCATTCAGCTGATGTTAATTTAAACCACTTCATTGGATTTCAAAATATCAAAATGCCTCGGTTATTGCCTATCTATATCACCAGCTGCCAAATACTTCCTTCCTTCCCTGAACTAGGGAAAACCTCAGAATATAGATTTGAAGACCCCAGAAAAAGTTTTTCTGTGGCTTGAAAAGCAGATTAGCAAATTCATGTCTAATGAATGAAGCAATTAGTTGTGAAGATTGTATGATACCCACAGGATCCAGAGGCACTAATGATACTGAACAACAGAACCTGAGTGTAAATCAGGAGATAGCCTTTTTAAGCAAATGCTGGACTAAGGGACCCACAAATCCCTTTAGTTGTAATTTGAAGATGCTTGGCAAGTTTTTCATTCAGGGACACATTTTCCTTAAACTGCTTTTGTCATCCCTATGATATGAAATCACTTATCACAAGATAATAAGATAATATAAATAATAAACAAAGAAATCTTCACTGACGATGGCTAGCAGTTGAATTGCATTCATAAGTGCATCCATTGGTCACCTGTGCAGTTTGTGTAGCAGAGATATTAAATGGGTGTACTAACACATGCCTAGAATTCCTCACATTCTGGACCACCTGTAATTTCCTGGAGGTCTTTAAGAGCAATAGGTAGTCCTCCACTTACAACTATTCATTTAGTGATCGTTCAAAGTTATGATAGTACTGAAAAAATGTGATGTATGACTGGTCCTTGTACTTACAACTGTCACAGCATCCCCATGATTACATGATCAAAATTTGGTTGCTTGCAACTGGCACCTATTTACAATGGTTGTAGCTTAACAACCACCTTGATTAGCAATGGAAATTTTGACCCCAATTCTGGTTATAAGTCGAGGACTATCTGTACTTGTTGAGCTAATTGCAGTAGTCCACAAACAAGATTACTGAGGAAAGACTTGCAGTCAAGAGGCCAATGTGGTTAGTGCAGTACCATAGATAAGTCTGAGCAAAGACCCTACTGGCTAATGCTGCCACCTGCACTCTGAACAGAAACTGGGTAACTCTCAGATTGTGTATGAGGAAAAGAGAAGCCCTGTTCAGAACTAAAGACAGAAAATTTATGGCCCTAGAAAAACTATGAAGATACAGCTCCTCAATTTTGTCAGGGCTGAGCTCAAGCTTGTTGTTCTTACTCAGCCAGTGGACAAAGCACTGGCAGCATCACTTGACCTCTACTGAAGATACATGAGTCTGAAACAACCTCACCCAGTTATTTCATGTAGTTGTTAAACAGGAAGGATGAGAATGTCAATCCATGCAACAACTTATAAATCAACATGTCTCCTGCCAACACCAATGGGGATTGGCTACAGAAAAAATGAGGAGAAGCACTGAAACAC